TGTTAGATTTCGATATGGTAAAAATTATCAGTGACGCAAAATTTGTAGATTTTATCAGAAAAAATTATAATACATACTTTTTTACTGGTAATCCCGGTTATACACTGCGCGTTTTTGTGGTTGCCGCAGAAACGCGCGGCACCGGCATCGATCATAAATATACTACACAGAGCGCCTGCGATATTAGCAAAAACGCACAGTGTACCGCCGGGCTTAAAACAACTGCCACTGTCGACTACGATTTTTCGCTATCGCAGTTGAGGTGTGCTTTTGGTGCCACCTCGAGCCCGGTGCGTCTCGATCTAGAATCGAGACGCACCAATTAAAGAAATAGACAGTGAAATAGATTAATTATAGTTTATATGTTTCGTATAAACGAAACATATAAAAAAGAACATAGGCCTGAATAAGTACAAATAACTATTTTTCTGCAAAATAGAAACCCTGAATAATTTTTAAATTTCTCGTTTTTATAAAAAAAATAATTTTTGAAATTTCAACCAAAGAAATACAAATATACCCATCTATATATGATTCGAGGATAACAATTATAAAAATTTTGGCGTAGGAGTAAATCTCGAAGTAAATGGGTCCAAGAAAGTTGCCTAATCAGGGAAAAAATAAAATTCTTATAATTTTCATCTTCGTAATTGGAAGGCTATTGTTTATTTCTTCTATTAAAATTTCGTAGTTGAAAAACAACGCGCCATAATTAAGCAGCGACTGCGATTTAACTGGTCGCTCTAGCAGTCGAGACGCAGCCGATGCGACTCGATCACAGACGAATTCAGTCCGGACGCACCAGCGATTTAGTATTAGCACAGGTATTAGTATACAAACTACATACCTGTATCCGATCCTGTACCCTAGAAGTTCCCTATTGTTTGATTCTGAGGTACAGATACGTTGAAGCAGTCGACAGTCGTAGCCGTCAGTAAGTAAGTAAAAACAAAAACATGACTTTTCATGTTGTTGTATTATTCTGTATGTATTATGAAAACATTTCCAAAACACCTTTTTACGTAGAATTTAATGATTTAAGTATAATTTTTTTAAAATTAATAATAAATTTCGAGTTATCACTAGAAAAATTGATTTTTTATTTGGGACACTCTGGGAATATTTTTAATTAAATGAAAAGAACTTAAAATTACCTTTCCAAAAATATAGCACACTTAATATTTTGTTATAGTTCCCGTTGAAATACAGAATTTTTAAAAGTTCGTCACTTTTATCTAATATTTTGTGGATCTCTTATTGATGATCTGCCCCTAATCGAAAACAAAAATTATACAGGGTGTTTCAAAAAATATGTGCCATCTCTCGTGGGTAGATTCCTCACGTAAAAATAAGATTTATTTTTCATACTAACATAGTTCCGATTCAGCTTTATTTCGTAGCTACAGGATGTTAAAGTCTTAATAATCTTTCGATTTATTATAATTTCCTTCCGAGTACTTTTAGTGATTTGAATGGAATTTTGAGGGTGTTAATATGTTACATATTTTAACGCTAAAAAAGTGTTAATAAATGCATCAGGGACGCGCATATGGGTTATCACTGGGATATATTCAAAAAAAACATGTGCGCCACTGACTTTTTTCGTTTGATAATAAATTATATATTTTACCTAATTTATTATTAAATATTATTACTGTTAGTTATCATTACCATTAGACCAACATACAGCAATTTCAAATAAAAAAATAATGATATTTAAGATAATTATTACAAAAAAAATAATTTTAAAAAGTTTTAACACACTGTAATTATGAAACTTTGCTATATAACTTTTTTCATATTTTTTGATGAGGAATCAAAAAGTACTTTTTAAAACTTTTGCAAGTTAATGATATTAAAATTTTATAAAGGTTGCTATTAGACTTGAATCAAATGAAAAGCGAAATGGACAAAATATGAAGAGACAACTTTTAATCGGCATTAAACGGCTTACACTATTGCGCTAACAAGAGACAAAAAAGGCAGTGGCGTACATGCTTTTTTTAGAAAAATATTCCAGAGAAAACCCATATGCACGTCCCTGGTGCATATGTTGACACTTTTTTAGCGTTAAAATATATCGCATTAATAGTAACTTTTACCCTCAAAATTTCATTCGAATCGCTAAAAGCACTTGGAAGAAAAAGACTTTAACACCCTGTAGCTACAAAACAAAGCAGAATCGGATCTATGTATTATTATATATCGGATATGAAAAATAAATCTTATTTTTACGTGAGGAATCTGCCCACGAAAGATGGCACATGCTTTTTGAAACACCCTGTATATACAGGGTGTCCCAGAAATAAGTGCAAGTAATTCAACTGGTAGTATAGTTCAACCCCAGAAACACGCCTATGAGGTTTTTTTCACGAAAATTTTTTTTTGAAAATTCGAAATTTTTGGAAATTTTTTTTTGGATTTTTTTAGTTTTTAATTAAAAAAACATAATTTCTTGATAATATGGCAACATAGGTATTAGATTAAATTTACAAGAAAAAAAAAATCCAGAAAAGATCCAGCGATTCTCAAAATTTTAGCAAAAAATCATGTTTTTTCGAAATTTTCAAAGTAAAATAACTCCGTTATTTTGGACTTATTTGAAAAACGAAAAAGAGAAAATATGTTTGTTTTATCGAGATTTACCACCCCTTAAAATACTTGCACTCTCATCTCGTGGCGCCCTTTTATTAATATCTTTGAACCCCGACCACCTGGCTGTTAATTAAAAAGCTAGTGGCCTCTATGCAACTCATTACCGATTAAGTAAACTTGTGTTTTATTGAACCTCCAATTAGAAAGGGCGTGGCACTACAGTAGTTTAATAAGTAAGTATTCATTATTTTATCAAGAACAATATAGTAGTATCTGCCGGCAGAACAAATAGATATGTTACCAGTGATTTTATTTTGTGAGGAAAATTGCTTCTTGGCCTCAAGAAGGGTTTGTGCTCAAAGATATCCAAATAGGAATCTTCCTGACAAGCGTTCCTTTGAAAAACTGCTTATCCTATTTCGCAGGGTTTCTAGTTTATTAAAAATTTATTTTTTTTTTGTTTCGTTTCTTTGACTTGTATACTATATATTTTTTGTTTTTACTCTTGGCTTTAGGTCATTGGGGTTGCAAAGATGTTATTAGATTTTGTTCATTATTTTATTTTATGATGACGTTTCGACAGTATATGTCTTTTTCAAGGCTCTTGAACGTAGATTCCTACAGAGTTAAAAATTGTTAAAACTGGACAAAACACAATAACACACACTAAACTATTATTTTAATTGTTTTTGGACATCACACTTTAGTATAGAGCAAAATATTAAAAATTTATTAGGCAGAAACCTGTCGTTGGAAGTGAAAAAAATTAATTTGCCGTAATTGGCTCTTTTATAGAAAATCCATATCTATATCTACAAGTCATCGTAAAATAAATCAATGATCTACTTCTTCGTTTTTCTTGATAGAATAAAAAAATACATATTTAATAAATATTATTCATTAAACTATTGTAGGTAAATTAAATAAAAGTAAACTAGTATAAATAAAGAAAAGCCCATAAATTAATTTCGTTTTTGAAAATAGCTAGTAACTGTCACTAGAAACTCTGGTTGCCATTTTATTGAAAAAATGCTCTTTATTCAAAATCTGAGCTATGTAGGTATAGGAAACCCTAATACAGTTTGAAAGAGCATTTGAATCTGCTTCGATTTATTTAAAAAAATACAGGATGTTGTATTTGAAATAGTGAAGTTTATATGTAAAGTAAATTCTTAATATAGATCATCAATTGTTGATACCCCTGTATAAATTTAAGGAAGCAATAACATTTATTTTTAAAGTTTATTTTTCTACCTTTAAACTCAGCACAAGAATTAGTTCTGAAAAGTAATGTATAGGGTGTTAATAATCTATTCTATTGTAGTATCCAAAGTTGGAAATCTTTAAATATCTCAAAAACCAAAGATTTTGAACATATTTAACCCTTATAATAAATGTCTTTTTTGGGTCCAAGAATCCAAAAATGAAATAAAATACCGGGTGTTCCATAAGAAAAAATATAATTTTGGTATGGATCTTAGTTCTGAAACAAACTGTATATTTCAAAATAATTTTAAATTGTGCAGATTGCCTCCCCACATATACCCATAAAATATTTTGTTTCTACATATTTCCGCTTTCGTATAATAAATCGAGGCGAATGAGGTGCGCCACCCTGTATTATAATATAGAATGTTCAGCCATCGTTCAACGTCACGTCGTATATTGTCTAACTCAGTCAATCACTTAACAACCAGATATAAGAGATTGGTGACGTCATTACGACATTTCATAAATTATTGCACATTATTTTTAGTAATTGTCATTTGATTTGGGGTTATAATTTTATTGGCGGACATGGATCAGTGTCAAAATTAAATATCTATTGTTGCTGTCAAATAAAATTCCATTTTTTTATTGCAAAAATGCCTCAAAGATTGTAATATTTCTATGTAAAATACAAATTGTTAGCGTTTTCAAATAATATATCGAGTTACTAATGCCTTAGACTTTTTAATAGGAGATTCAACAAAGGGATCGTAACTGGTGAAGGGTTCAGGAAAAAATAATAAATGCCAAATAAAAACCGAAATCGTTCAATCAATAATACATGAACGTACTTAAAATTTTCTAAACAACGATATGATGACGTAACGTTGAACGATGTTCAGCTATCGATCAACGTTACGTGTAGCCAACATTTTTAAAGGTACGTAATTATAATTTTAGAACACGTGCATAAAAACTCAAGCAGTTGATTAAAAAGAAGTATACCTACTATTAATATTGATTAAATTATATTTTATCCTCATATGCCTATTTAATTTTTCGAGTATGTAATGTGCTTTTTTACTCACTTGTTTCGCCGAACTGACTGAATCCATTTATGAAATAAAAATCTTAAATAAGCTGAGGTATAAGTATAAATATTCTATAAGGCTTCAAGAGACTTTTTTTGTTTTTAGGTATTTAACAACGTTATATTAACATCACTACAAGATTCCGTATTAGAGAAACGACTATATATTCTCCAACAAAATGCCACGTTGACTGTATATACGATGATTTCGAGAGGACTATTTGAAAGACATAAATTGGTATTTAGTTTTATGCTTTGCATAGCTATATTGCAACAAGAAAATATTATCGCTGATGTTCAGCTGAGCTTTTTACTTCGTGGGCCAATAGGTGTTAAAGACATATCTAAAAAACCAGACGTAAGTAATTATTTACATTAATATATTAATTAATATTATTTATAGTTAACTTAACATTATACCATGTGTTGCATCGTCGACCTGAACATAGGAAATCCTATGTAAATTTTAAAAATTATGAATAAGTTTTACTTTTTCCTTAAACAAGGAAAATTTTTAAAGTTTTAAGTAATTTATTCGAATTAGTTTTTGAGTGATGAAAGATAGAAAAATACTAAATTAACGAAAATTTAAAATAATCCGGTCCTGGCAAACAAACATAATGCCGGGACTACACCAAATTGTGCAAATCCGGCGGCCTGTGTCTCCGGTCGCATTTTTACCGACCCTATAAATATTCAGCGCTTCGATTTGCCGAAGATATACGAGGCATCTTTTTACTAATCCCAGCATATTTCAGCATTTTGCGCTGAATATGTGTAGGGTTAGTAACAAGACCTCCGGCATATTTTTTTGAACAAAATACTCATTGGGCCACATTGCATTATTAAATTTACACAGAATACCAAATCTATTTTATAAATAATCTTTATGATAAAAATCAAATACATATGTCATATGTATTCGATTTTTATCTACTTTCTTCATATACAGTCGTGGTTTATTTAAAGAAACATCGAAAAAAAAATTAATGAAATCAATGGAAAAAAAAGGTATAACAAAAATTATATATTGAAAAGTAACTAGTCCAGGGTGTTCGTCGGATAACTGAACAGGGAGGGGCTTATGTTTGCCTTTCCGCGAAATATTACCTTAAGATCCTTAAAGTTAAAAAAGTGAAAAAAAGTCTCTAGTATTCAACAAAATGGTCGCACGCGAAACAGTAATTTCGAGTCCGGAGTGCCTGCCAACCCAAGTAGCATTTGGACGTTATCTAACGTCGAGTATACGTCGCGCCCAATAAACCCGACGTCGGGTAAAACATCGGTTCGACCACCTGACGACCCTTATTTGCACCTAAATGGGGAATACAGATTCGGGTCGCCTCGACGTCGGTATCTGACCTAATAGGGAATGTAATTCTACCAATTACCAACGTCATATTACGTTGGATTTTAGTCACTTAAAATTCGTCGCTAAGCACATACGTTACGTTTGGTTTCATATTCGCTACCAAGAATACATAAAAACCTAACCAAACTACCTAATTACAAATGGATTCATAATCACTCCTCGAATATAACTATAAGTTCCTACCTAATTTCAAATTATAATAATTCTGAATCATTAATCCAGACATCAGTTTTGTCAACGGAAGTCACTTTTTTGATATATCTGATTAAAATACTCCGGAAAACAACGAGCGTCTTCAAAATTAGATAGATAGTCATCAAACCGGACGACCGGCAATCGTATTATGACGTATATAATTCCAACTTACTTCACGTAACCTCACTTTGCGTATCAGTGATTTGTGGATTTGTGCAACTATATTTTAGTTTTTGTTTTCTCCTTAAAAAAATGGGTAGCCACTTTTTTAAGATAGTATATATACAACATTTAAAAGAATTGGAACCAGTACATGGAACACTCACATGTGGGAATGTTGGAACACTCGCATGTGGGAGGAGGATGGGGTCTGTTGGTTTCCTAAGCTAAAAATAAAATTAAGATGCACCAGTGTAATGCAGCATCTCTTCCGGATAAAAAGCATTCGTGGGTGGAAGCAAGACATCACTACTACTCTTATTATTTTGCAAAAGCCTCGACCTCTTTCTGTAAAATGTAGATGAATGTCTAAATGCCTTTTTAGTGTTTTTTAGGCATAATAAAAAAATTAAGTTTGTTTACAAAAACTTTTTATTAGGTTATGTTCATGATGTTCATTAGGCCGCAAATGCTACTTAATGGGTTGTATTTACCGACGTAAATAGAGATACGTAAATTAGGTTATAAATATGAACATAAAATACAACAAAATATAATTGGACGTTACTTTAGGGATTATCAGTGAGACGTATCCTATTCGGAAAACGGGTAGAAGTCGGACTAGTTCAAGTATATGTACGTCGTGCAAGCCATTAATTAATGTCTCTATATACATAATGTCTTATGGTTACGCGGGCATTTTTCTTTTTAATGAGCGGGTTTTAAATCTTTACGTGTACTAACTTGTAGTTATTTTTATCGGGCATATTCACTGACTACCGACGATATCTTACGATTAACGGTATACGGTCTGGAGTATTTTGGTGCTAACTTAGCTGCGAAACCTTTCACGGCGGAAGATAGAGGGTGCTCCCTTTTCATCACTTGATCACCGGGATTACACTGCCATTCTCTTCGTCTTAAATTATAATAATGGCTCTGTGACGCGAAGGCGCGAGATAGATTTAAACGGACCAATTCGAAGGTTTCTTTTAAACGGTTTAAGCGATTTTCGGTTCTTGTTATGTCTATGATCGTCGGCTCGGGATTTTCGGACGGAACAGACGGCTGTTCTTCGCGCAGAAGAGTTTTCGGCGACTCGAGTTCCCTTCCAAAATTCAGGAAGGCCGGAGTGAATCCAGTCGAGTCGTTACGGGACGTATTGAAGGCAAACGTCAGTTCAGAGAGATGGGCATCCCATTTCTTATGGTTGTCCTCGCAAAACTGCGCAATCATGGTCTTGATGGTTTTATTCGCTCTTTCGACGGGATTCGCCTGAGGTGTGTAGGGTGGTGTAAGTCGATGATTAACTCCAAAATCCTTCAACAGTTGACGGTCTACCGGTGTACTGTGTGCCGTTATCAGTAATGACCGTAGCAGGTCTTCCAAAACGCATCAGAATTTCGTCATATAAGGCCTGACTGACAGCCTTGGCAGTCGCATTTCTAATGGCCTTACATACTATCCACTTGATAAACCTATCTTGGAACACAAGGACGTAGCAGTTCCCTTTCGTAGACCTAGGCAATCGTCCCACTAAGTCAGAACTCACAGTTTCCCACGGGCTTCGGACAGGTGATGGTTGCATCTTTCCAGGCGTCTGCTGTTGAGAAGCTTTATACTGTTGATTGCCAAAATATATGTTTACCCTTATTGATGACAGCACTAGGAAAGTATTTGTTAATTTTTGTTAATAAATTTTCACAACCTTCTGTTCGATGGTAGAAAATCAAACAGATCGAAAAATCAAAGTTTTGAGAACCGACAATGGAGGAGAGTACTGTAATTAACGATTAAGAAATTTTCTTCAAAGTCGTGACATTAAGCATGAACTGACAGTACCTTACACTCCAGAGCAGAATGGAGTAGCAGAGCGCTAAAATCGAGCAATACTTGAAAAAGTTCGTTCATTGCATAAACAAATGTGGGCAGAAGCTGCAAATACAGCTGTGTATCTTCTGAACCGTTCACCAGCAAAGAAAATACGTGGTGCAACACCAGAAGAAAAATGGACAGGCAAAAAGGTAGATTTAAAGCACCTCAGAGTTTTTAGATGCCGATGCCGTGCCTATGCTCATATACCCAATGCTAAACGAAAAAAGCTTGATGACAAGAGCAAAGAGTACATTTACGTTGGGTACTCCGAGAGAAGTTGTTACGGGATTTATATTCTCATAGATTTCTTTCTGAATTTTATTTATTTTGGGCTCAATGTTGTAATTTTGGAGACAATCCTTGAATTTAATTTATTGTTTTATCAAACCTGGAGCATTCGCCATTTCTTTAAAATCTAAAAAACAATTTAGTAAATATATAATTTCTAGGCTAAAATATGTTTATTTACTGTTGCATTACACTTTTTGTTTTAACAACATAAAATTTCACTGTAAATTTCTCTGTCTCGTACTGCTTTATAGTTCTTCGAAGTTAAATGCGATGCCTACTTTTTCACAAGTTAAATTTGGTTTATATTATCATATTTTACCCTGATTCCTTGGAATGTACCATTATTATAAAATGATAATGGTTTTCACATTATTATAGTATGGATTTCACTCTATTTTGAATCGAACAAGTGTTGATATCAGTGTAGCACAATCAATTGTTGAACATCATAAACTAAAAGCAAATAAATTGTTTAGTAATTATTAATAGGTACTTCTATATTACTTACGATGTGTGGCTGATATGTAGTCTTTTAAAGACTTGCAAAATCGTAATTTTATTGAAATTAGCTTGAGTAGTGTTTTGACAGCGATGTGTTTACAGCTGAACAATATTTGAGGTTACTTTGTAATTTCTTATTCTGCGGCAACGTAAATATCGAGCATATTAGCATTAGTTACCGAATTAGGGTTTGATTGACAGTTATATATGACATTTATATATATGATGGTGACTTTTTGATTGTTTACATTGTATATTGGTTGCGTAATAGTATTTTCCTGTGGTACTTTCGATTTCCGTTTACTTTCAGTACTTTCGATTTATTGTTTTTTTATATTTGACGTATATCATGTTTTGCTCTTAGGGAGTAGATTATTTGGTTTATTAGCAACATTGATTTACTGTGTTTTTTTACTGCCCTTTTGACCGGTGTTCATGCATGATTCTTTCTTCTAGAACAATCCGTCTTTGTGTACAGACACGCTTTTTGAATCAAGCCTTGTGCTGATATAAGTTCTAGCAAATTCAGTTTAATAATTTATTAGTGAATAGTTTTACCGTTTTGCACTATTCAAGTGAAGTTTTTCCGATATTTCTAATTATTTTAACCGTAAGAATTTGAAAAAAGAGTTAATGAATGGCCACATGACATCTCAGGTATGTTTTACGCCATTTTGTAGTTTTTCTTGGGGGTAATTTTGAACTTCTTTTTCAGGCCATTTAATTTAAATTGATTTAATTTAAATTAGATTTAATTTAATTCCATTTAATTTAACTTGGATTTAATTTTGAATTTAATCTCCATGTATATTTTATTTTACTTTTGTACTTTTGAATCTATTATTCGTTGCCGTTGCTGCCGTTTCTTCTTGCCATGAGGTTCCTACGTCACCCGACCGTGTTCACCATGTGGTTTTAAGCTAACCATCAGCATTATCACCTAGCTCATTTGATCCGGAAGACTT